AGGCAAGGCACTTAGGAACTCAGTGAGACCCTGTCTCTAAATAAAATACAAAGTAGGGCTGGGGATGTGGCTCAGTGTTTGAGTGTCCTGAGTTCAATTCCTGGTACAAAAAAAAAAAGTGGTATATATACATAATGGAATATTACTCAGCCTTTAATAAGAATGAAATGATGGCATTTTTAGGTAAATGGATGGTGCTGGAGCCAAAAAGCCAATCCCCAAAACCCAAAGGCTGAATGTTTTCTTTGATATGTGGATGCTAACTTACAATAAGGGGGGCTAGGGAAGAACAGAGTTACTTTGGAATAGGCAGAGGAGAGGGAGGGAGGGAGGGGATGTGGAGGCAGCAAGGACAGCAGAGTGAACTGACGTTATCACCTGTGTCCATATGGGATCAAGGACCAATGTGATCTTACATCATGTGCAACCAGAGAAAGAGGAGTCTGCTCCATTATGTAGGATGTGACCGAGTGCATCCTACTGTCATGTAGAGCTAATTAGAACAAATAATAAACAAACATACTGAAGAATGAAAAAGGGGGCGGGGGCTTAGAGGTTAAGCAGCCCTGGGTTTGAAACCTGGCACCAAAACCAAAACAAACCAAAAACACAAGCCTCAGCACAGACAGGGCAACACAGCACCCAGAGAAGCAGAGGGGGCAGAGCAGGGTGCAGTCCAGGGGGCAGGGTGGGCTGGGCGTGGCTCCAGCATGGAGGGTCCTGGGAGAGGCTGTGGTGCTGGAGGGGCCCCTTCTCCACAGGAGGGTCTAACCTGGGCTTCTCCAGAAATTTCCACCAGGGCTGATCTTAGGACTATGAGCAATAGTCTCTGCAAAAGAGTCCAATGTAGATAAACTTGCTATTTTCATGTCGCCCTGTTTACTTGGCCACTGGCGGGGAAGATACCATCCCTCCAGGTGCTGGACACCCCTTACTAGTTTTTCACAAACGTCTCCAGTACAGTAGTTTGAAGAAATGTGCAAACCAGGCCTCTGGCCTTGAGCTGGGCTTCACAGAGATGTCTACATTTTTAAGATAAGTTACAAATGGGCTCCATGGTAACAGCTGGCAGCGGGAGGAGAGAGAGGGGAGAAGAGGCTCTCCCCTTCTCAGGTGTGGTCCTTGGAAGAGTTAACTTGCCCAAAACAGAAAAAGCTGATTTATGTGAACTTCTGCAGACTGTGGACTTCTGAGCCCCTCCCCTTACACACTGGGTATAAAACTCTGAGACCCCCTGAACTCGGGGTTCAGGGGATTGATTGATTACAGCAGAAGCTGTGCCCTCTGAACCTGGCTGCAGCCAAATAAAACTGTGTCCTGCTGTCTTCAGTGCCTGGCCTCGTGTGTCCCTACAGCGGTGCCGGCTGGCACAACTTGTGTCCAAAGAACCACGAACGGTGCGTTTCAGTGGGTGAATGGCAGGGGATGTGTCACGGCTGGGATGTAGGTCCCCCTGAAGCTCTCATGCGGGACAAGGCAGGAAGGCTCAGAGTGGGAAGGTGGACTAGTCGGTCCCTGCAGGCAGGTGGGTTTGCCTCGGGTTGCGACTGTGAGCTGAGCTGAGCTCTGCTTCCTGGGGCCAGGCTGCCGCGCCCCACCGCAGCCCAGAGGAGTGACTGACCTCCGAAACCCTGAGCCCCAGGTGCCTTTCCCTCCTCTCACTCTTCTTGTCAAGATTCTGGTCAGAGCAACGACAAAGGGGACTAAAACAGGATACAAATTATGTTACAATAAAACACAATAGTCAAAGCCTCTATGGAGTTTGACGAGGACAAGGCGAGGCCATACCCAAGTACCACAAAGAGCGTGACCCTCACGTGCACCAGCAGGGACAAAGAGGGAGTCCACAGAAAAAGTAGGATTTGCCAAGTTTTTAGAAAATATTTATTTTCCACTTTTCGGTGGACACAACATCTTTTTATTTTTGTTTGTGTGTGGTGCTGAGGATGGAACCCAGCGCCCGCGCATGCCAGGCGAGCCCTTACTGCTGGAGCCACATCCGCAGCCCTTGCCGGTGTTAAAAAAGGACTGTCACCTGCTAACCTCTGGCATTCCCGTGGCCCTCTGTGGCAGAGGGGTTCCCGCGACACACGCCGACGGGACCCAAAGCCAGGGATGGGAGCTGGCGGCTCGGCAGGCGCTTCCGCCCGGCTCTGGGGACCGGCCTGCGTTCCGAGGAGGTGGCCGACTCGCCGCTGCCGGCTCGGACTCGTTCCAGCCAACCGCCGGGCCCAGCGGTGGGCAGCAGCCGACCTTCGGCGCGGGCGGGTTTGCGCAGCCGCACCTACCGCGGGGCTCCGCGGGCTGGGCTCCGGGGACAGCGGCGCCCTCTGCTGGCCCCGAGCCAGAGGCGGTGGCGTGGCGCCGCGGGGCGCAGGTGCGGAGGGGGCGGTGACCTGGCCCAGCCACCTGCGGCGCCCTACTCCGGGTGGCTCGCCTGCCGCGCCCCCAGCCCAGAGACGGGAACTGAGGCCCACTGGGCATGGTCACGTAGGCGGAGTCCCCAGAAGGGGCAGGGGCCTGAAGCCTGTGGGGGCCAGGATCCTTGGCCACTGAGGATGTCAGCCAGGTGTGGTCCTTGGGATCTGCAGGCCGGCCGAGGGGGGTGCCTGCCCACTGCTGCCCACCAGGGACACCGCCCCCTCCCCGCGTGTACCCTACTCTCCCCTTCGTATCCGTGTATATGTAGCCTACTGCTGTAGGGGATTTTAAACTCCAAGTGGTAAGACACTTCATTTCAGAAAATTATGTTTTAAAAACAAATTTAAATGGCTTTATAACATTTTCCTGAATAACATGCCATAGTTTATTTTATCTTGTTAATGGACTTTCATGTCATCTGTGTCTTTATCTTGAATAATAAATACCACACAAGCAGGTTGTTTTTTTAATATTTTCATAAAAAAGTGGAATATTACTATGAGTCCTAAACAGAATTACTAAGTCTGCACTTTTTTTTTTTTTTTTTTTTTTTTGGTACCAAGGACTGAACTCAGGGACATCCCACCACTGAGCCACACCCCCAGCCCTATTTTGTATTTTACTTAGAGACAGGGTCTCACTGAGTTGCTTAGCGCCTCAATTTTGCTGAGGCCGGCTTTGAACTCTGGATCCTCCTGCCTTAGCCTCCTGAGCCATTGAGATTACAGGCATGGCCACCGAGCCCAGCAAGTCTGCACCTTTTATAGGTTCTTGGTATTTATTGCCAAATTGCTTTATTTTGAAAAAGAAAATCTGATGTTTGGTCCCATCAGCTTCACCTGTCTCAGCACATTCCCGAATGGGGTAGGTATTACTGTTCCTTTAAAAACTGGAGCCTTCCTGTTTGATGGCCGGAGGCACACTGAACTCTCTTTGCAGGTCCCTGCCTGTGGTGGACATGTGGACCTCAGCTGCTAAGGCAGAAAAGGCCAAGTGTGCCCAGAAGTCTTCTGCTGGGTTACTGTGGGTGGCGCCCTGGATCTTCATTAGAGTGGATAGAATCCATCCTTGACTTAAGCAGAAAGGGTCCAAGTTAGCCAGGGAAGGTGGTGTGCAGCGGTAATCCCCGGGACTTGGGAGGCTGAGGAAGGAGGATCCCAAGGAAGGAGGATCAAAGCCAGCAACTTAGCAAGACCCTATCTTAAAATAAAAATTAAAAAGGGAGGATAAAAAATAAAAGCTGGGGATGTGGCTCAGTGGTTAAGTTCCCCTGGGTTCAATCCTTGGTACCCTCCCAAAAATGGGGGGGCACAGTTGCCTAGTCGCGTTGAACAGGCCAAAGGCTCTTCACTGGACTGAAGGGAAGGCCTCCAGGCTTTCTGCCAAGTGGTCCCTTCCCCTGATTCCCCTGAAACCTCGACACAACCAGGAAACCATCAAGTCACAAGCAGACCTCCGCGGGCTTAGAGCCTGCTGCCCATGCCCATTCTGTCCCTTCCAGGCGAGCTGGGGAGAAGCGTCTCCAGCAGACGGCAGAGGCCGGCGGGTGGGCGGGGCCGGGCAGAGAGCTGGCGAAGTGCCCAGGGTTGAGTGTATGTTGGTGCCCACGGCTCTAGAGCCAGGGCAGGCAGGCCTGACCACCAGTCATCTGCGACGACTGAGATCCGCAGCTTATATAGCGCCCTTACGAGCTGGGGGAGGGGGCACGATCTCAGGCACCTTCTACCTTGTGCAGGCAAAGGGAGAGATTGCGACATTACACATGATCATGCTGACTTCCGGCCCCCAAAGTCATCCTGGCTGTTCAGGACCCTCGACCTCTGGCCACTCTGCCCAGAGGGTGACCACTTGGCTCTGCTGATCAACACAACCAGAGAGCCTTTCTGTCTCCCCTGGCCTTGCCGGAGTTCCTCTCGCATCCGCAAAGGACCCGGGCCTCGGGCAGAATCCAGACCTTGGCTCTCCTGAAGCGCTGAGTCCTCTGCAGCCGGAAGCCCACCCGTTTCTTCTCCTGACCCGGCAGCACACCCTGCTGTCTGTCCTCCCTCTGTGCCTCGGTTTTGGTGTGTCCTGAATGTCAAGTGTGCGGCCTGCTGGTGCAGTGCGCCCGTGGCTTTCCTGTCCTGGCTGACTGAGAGAACAGAGGCCACCTGGGCTTTATTGGTGCTTTCTCTGGTCTTGGTTTCTCCAACAGATTTGCACATTCTTCTGTGCTGCAGAGTCATGGGTGAGCTGAGCACCCTCTGTTTCAAGCTGGACTTGGAAAGGCTGGGGTGGCTCGGTGGGGCCTGAAGCAGCTGTCCACAGCTGTCCAGCTGTCTCTCCACACCAGCAGGGTGCTGCCTGTGGCCTGTGCCCATCAGGAAAGATGCCTGCACGCTGCCCGTCCTGGGCACAGAGCTGCCTGGTGTCCTGGGGGAGGTGTCCCCTCCTTCACCAGCACACACTAAGAAGACTCGCACCCATGCTGGGGCGTCCTGGGCAAGAGCCCTGCTGACCTCTGCCCTTCCTGCACCTCTGGTGGGCTCGCCCTTGCTCCCTGGCTGCTGCCTGGTGCAGCCCTTCACAGATACAAGGAAGAGATTTGTAACACACTTTATTTTTTCAGCCTGGGAATTGAACACAGAGCCTGCATGCTGCAAGAGTCCTCTGCCATTGAGCACATCCCCAATCCAGCTATTTTCTTTCTTAGAAATTATTTCTAGCTGAATGAAGTTAGTAAAAACTTAAAGGATATAATAAAATAAAACACATTTAGTTATTTTTTCTGACTCACCCATTTTAGAATTGTTTATATACAAAGAAGGAAATAATAAACACTGTGGATGGACACATCATTAAAAGATCGTAGCTTAAATGGCAAAGAAACATGTGAAACTCTAACCATGCCTAACCTCACAGGGTGCTTGCAGAAGGGCAGGTGCTGACACATGGGTCTTTCAACACCTGGGGCAGACGTGAAGAGCTGCTCAGGGGTTAGGTGGGTTCCCCGGAGCCCTGCCCTCTTCCCCCCTGTGCTAAGGATGGTTTGCACCCCACCCTTCCACACCAGTGGTCTCAGCCTCTCTCCAGGGAGGAGTCCCTTCCCCATTCAGTGCTGCAGCCAGCAGTGCCCTGATGTTGGGCTCTCCCACTGGCCTCCTTGGGACAGGCTAAGGGGTGCGGCTGGCCTCCGGCAGCCTGTGTCAGGGCCAGTGACCACCTGCTGGCTGGGCGGCAGCCCAGCCCTGCATTCCGCAGGACTTTCTGGTCTGTTTAAAAATAGGGAGGTGTGGCTGCTGCTTATTTTTAGAGGGAACACTGGTGAATGTAGTATTTTTATCTCACTTCTGTCCTCACATTCTTTGGCAAAGGTTCCCCTTAACCTTTCTGAACAAAGGATAAATAAAGAAATAAGATAGATGAAATGTTTGCTCAAGTATGATGGGAGTGGCCCTGCACGGGTGCCTTGGGGCGGAGTGACCTCCTGACTCCAGGTGGCTCTCAGCTCCACACCAACAGCTCCCAAAGGCTGGCTGTGGCCTCCACGGGGAGCACCCTGCACTCCTGCTTCCACGGCCCCACACGCAGCCTCCATGGGTGAGAGAACCGCAAGGCCCCGGGGAGTCTCGAGGAGGTCCTGCCAGCTTCAAGTGGCACCTGCCTCTCACTGAACGGATGTTCAGATCAGAAAATAAGAGAGATCACCGTGAGCGTCCAGAGCCCTCTCCAGGGCCAGAGTGTGCTTTAGGACATTGCTCAGTTGCAAAGGAACTGAGCACCAAGAAGCCTTCAAAAAGCAGAAATTGATTTCCACAGAGAAACCGGAGCCCTGGGCAGCAGGGCAGCTGCTGCCGCCTCAGCACCTCCGCGAGCCCCATGCTCAGCAGGTCCAGGCAGCACACGGCCTCTGGGTGGCCTGGGGCCTGTGTGCTGGGCCCCATCGGAGACACCGATGGAGCAGCTCAGAAGGACCTGCAGAGGGCACCAGTGACCGCAGGCAGGGCTGTGGCAGGGGCCTCCTTCCTCCCCACCCTTCCTCACATCAGCAGATGCTCCACCCTGAGGGCCCTGGGCCTGAGTGCACTCTGCCAAGGAAGAGGTGGATGGCCACTGGCCTGGCCCAGCAGGGCAGCAGGCCAGGGACAGCCTGGGGTGGCTCCTCAGGGCTGGCTTCCCAGGCACTTCCCAGGCCTGTGGGTCTGTCGTGGGAGCAGGCTCCAGCAGAACCCCTAATGTCCTGCCGTCCTGCTGGCCTCCTGGCCTCCCCCAGCTGGTGTGGGCCCGGGCCCAGCAGTGGGGAAGTGCTGCCTTTCTTCCCACACGCCTGGCTCAGGTCACCAGCCCCTGCTCTGTTTTGGGTGCTTGCTAGAGACACGGGAGGGGAGCAGAGGGCGCCCAGAGTACCGTGAGAGGGCAGGGAGGGCAGCCCGCCAGGTCAGGAGGGAGCGCTGGCACATTCCAAGTGACAGTGCACATAAACACAAGGACCTCGTGAGGGCAACAGCTGGCACCTTGCTCTTCTGAAAAGGAGCCTCAGAGCCCAGGGAAGCAGTTGGGGCCTTGGGAGGGACAGGCCACATGAACACTCCTCTCCCAAGATCAGGGGCCTGGGCAGGAGAGGGCAGGGTGGACAGTCTGTGGGGGATGCGCACAGCACGCCACAGGCAGGAAGCACACCTCAGCCCCGTGCTGGGGGCTCGAGGTGGCTCATGGCGGCTCCTGGCCAGGCTCACTGTGGGGCTTCGAAGGTATCGCTAGCCCTGAGCAAGGTGGGCCTGAAGGACAGATCGAAGGCTGTCTGGTTGCTGAAGCTCTGGGCTTTATATTTTGCCAAGTGCCCTGACCTCCTGTGAGGCTCACCCTCTGACAGGTCTCTCTCTGCCCCAGGTGTGTTTGGGAGCCCCGTCTGGGCTGGGAGTTGGGGGGCTGGGCAGCCCCCAGCATCAGGTGTGGGCTGGGCAGAGCTGCCTGCGGGCTCTGGGCGAGAGGCCGCAGCACTCCTCCCTGCAAGGGGCCTGCTTCCTGGGGTGGGTCGCGGGGCCCTGGGGCTCCCCTGGCCACTGACCCTGTGCGTAGGCCTCTGGGGTTCCCCACATGCCCCTGCGGCACGTGCTCTGTCAGCTGAGCCGTCAGGCTGCCCCCAGGCCTGGGACACCATCCCACTGACCCTTCCCTGTGTGGTCAGGCTGCAGGACCCCCCAGGCGTCCCTGAGGGAGTGGCTGGGCTCCTGTCAGCCTTGGGGCCACCTTCCTGAGCCAGGTTCCTCACCTGCTTCACTGAGGGGCCCAGTGGGTGCTCCTGGCCCCTGGCCCTGGGCTGACAGGGCTTCTCCATGGCTGCTGCCCTCTGTCCTCCTGCCTGGTCCTGAGCAGCCTGTGCCCGGGGCTCTGCTGCACGCAGCCCAGCCTTCTCGCCCCCTGGTGCTGCCCCTCTGTTTCCAGAACCTTCTGGCTCTTGAGTCTGGTGTGGCCTCTCGTGCCCTGTGACACCCTCCCCTGGCTTCCCCACACGTCCCTGTGTGGGCCCCAAGCTCTCTGCCTTGCCAGGGGCTCTCTCATGGGCAGGCTTGGCTTCCGGCTCTGGAGCTGGCCGGGTGAGGCACGAAGGGGCAGATGCCACACCAGCGAGAGTGTGTGCTGCGGGTGGGCGGCCCCCTGCGTCCCGGGCCTGCTGGGCCAGGGACCCTGCTGGGCTCCCGCATGGTGTGGGACGACAGGCTGCGTCCCTGGGCTGGGGACCCCCTCCCGTGGCTCTGCCGGCTCGGCTCCCGGTGCCCACTGCTGCATTGTCCTGTGAAGCACCGAGCAGGGCCTCTGCAGGCGCGGGGCAAGCGCCCAAGGCCTCCTCTGGCCCAGCAGGCATGGGCACCCCTGTTGGGGGCCGCTGCCCAGCCCTCTCCCCCCAGACGCCCCCCTCTGCAGTTCGGCTCTTGTGCTTGGAGGACTCGCCGGGGGTCAAGAAACGGTGCCCGCCAGGTTCTGGGGGCCAAGTCTCTCCCAGGAGCCCATTTCCTGTGGCAGCACAATGGTGAGCCGACTGCACTCTGTGTTCCTCTGCACCCTTCCACTCTGCCCCAGGACCGTCCTCGGGGTCCCCGACGCCCCCCAGCAGTGCTGTCCTCTTCTCAGGGTCCTGGGCACTCCCGGGTGGTGGTGGTGCCCTCCTGTCCTCGGGGTCCCTGGAGCTCCCTGTAGGTGTCTTCCTGTCCTCGGGGTCCCTGGAGCTCCCTGGAGGTGCCCTCCTGTCCTCGGGGTCCCTGGAGCTCTCCGTAGGTGCCCTCCTGTCCTCGGGGTCCCTGGAGCTCCCTGTAGGTGCCCTCCTGTCCTCGGGGTCCCTGGAGCTCTCCGTAGGTGCCCTCCTGTCCTCGGGGTCCCTGGAGCTCCCTGTAGGTGCCCTCCTGTCCTTGGGGTCCCTGGAGCTCTCCACAGGTGTCTTCCTGTCCTCGGGGTCCCTGGAGCTCCCTGGAGGTGTCTTCCTGTCCTCGGGGTCCCTGGAGCTCCCTGGAGGTGCCCTCCTGTCCTCGGGGTCCCTGGAGCTCCACTTAGGTGTCTTCCTGTCCTCAGGGTCCCTGGAGCTCTCCGTAGGTGTCTTCCTGTCCTCGGGGTCCCTGGAGCTCTCCATAGGTGTCTTCCTGTCCTCGGGGTCCCTGGAGCTCCCTGGAGGTGCCCTCCTGTCCTCGGGGTCCCTGGAGCTCCCTGGAGGTGCCCTCCTGTCCTCGGGGTCCCTGGAGCTCCCTGGAGGTGCCCTCCTGTCCTCGGGGTCCCTGGAGCTCCCTGGAGGTGCCCTCCTGTCCTCGGGGTCCCTGGAGCTCCCTGGAGGTGTCTTCCTGTCCTCGGGGTCCCTGGAGCTCCCTGGAGGTGTCTTCCTGTCCTCGGGGTCCCTGGAGCTCCCTGTAGGTGCCCTCCTGTCCTCGGGGTCCCTGGAGCTCCCTGTAGGTGCCCTCCTATCCTCAGGGACCCAGGCGTCCCCTGGTGGTGCCCTCCTGTCCCCTGTAGGACTTGGGACCTTCCCTCCAGGTGCTGTGGCCCTGCAGGCTCTGCCACCGGGCTTGGGTGGCTCATCTAACAGGGCCAGGCTCTTCTTGCCCCAATCATAGTGGGCATCTTCCTGGGCAATCCCCGGGGGCGGAGCTGCCTCTGCCTCGGGACCTTTGCTGTCTTCCTGCCCACACAGGACTCTCCTGTCACTCCTGGTGGGACTCTCAGGTCCTCTGAAATCCTGGGCAGGGGCTGCCACGGCGCCTCCCTCCCTGGAACCCGGTCCCTGCTGGCTGCCAGAGGTGGAGCAGGTGCTGTGTCCTGGAGGGCTTTTCCAAGCGCATGTGGAAGAACCTGGTGGGGCGCCGTGGTCAGGGTGGTTAGGTGGGGAAGGCCGCTGGCAGCTGAGCTCAGGAGCACCCTGTCCTGAAGCAGTTCTGGGGTTCCTGCCCTCACTGGCGCTCACAGGGCTGTGTGGGCTCCCCTTCCCAGCAGGGGCACCTTGTGGCGAGTTGGCCGTCAGGACCGTCAGGAGCGGCTGTTGGTCCCCAGGACCCACGGGGGCAGTGACCCTCGGGGATTCTGGGGATCCTTGCTTAGAGGTCCTGCAGGAGGGGCTCAGCCCCCCTGAGGCCAGGCCAGCCTCCCTGTCCTCAGTGGCAGGGGGAAGCACTGCCCCTGCATTGGCACCGGCAATGTGCCCTCCTGAAGCCGGGGGCCGCCTGTCCCCGCCCGGCCACGTGCTTTGCAGAGGCCCTGGAGGGGCTGGCATTTCGTGGACAACTGGAAGCCGCACGGTGATGGGTGGAGACTCCAGGGCAGGCTGTGCTCGCCGTGCAGCCTGGACTCTGGGAGCGGCCAGCGGGGGGATCTGAGCTGCTGGCCCCTGCTGTGGGAGGTGCCTCTGGGTGGCGAAGAGGGGCTCTCTGTCTGAGGCTGGGAGCGAGCTTTCTGCTTCGTCCTCAGAACTGCACACGGTCATGATGACATCAGGGACCTCCCCTGCGCCCTCCTCTTTTAGCCCCCAGGGGTGGCCTGCTAGCCCCTCTGCTGTCAGCCCCACTGTCTTGTCCCCTTCAGCTGGCCCAGCCCCCCTGGGGCTGGCTGGTCTGAATGGGGGTGACAGGGGCATGTGGTCAGGCAGGGCTTCCCGGGAGGCCCAGGCAGAATCCTGCTGGGGGATGCCCTCGGTGGGGTTCAGAGCCAGGTGGCTGTCCCTGGGAGCGGCCACCTGGGTCATGGAGGACTTTGAGGGCTTTGGTTGTCCTCTGGGCTCCTTGCTCAAGATCCCTATTCCTGGCATTTTGTCCCTGCTGGGGTCTGTGTCCTCCGGGTCCGAGGACATGCTGATGTCTCTCCTGGGCCAACGCCTGGACTCCAAGTGACTGACTTTTGCACAGTGAGACAGCCAGCTCCGGGGGCTGCAGACCACCGTGGCTATGCTGAGGGCCGGCAGGGGCTCGGCCGTGCAGGCCAGAAAGCGGGCAGGGGGTGTCCTGGTACAGCTGATGGCCATGGTGGTGGTGTGGAGCACCCGCAGCTCCGGCCTGTGCGTCTTCTTCTGCAGGCTCCTCCGCCCCTCCCTGTGGAGGGGCAGCAGGCTGGCCTCTGAGCGGAGGCAGCTGCTCTGCGCAAACCTCTCTCGCAGCTGGTACAGGATGGTGCTCCTGCCCCCAGTCCTTGGCAGGAGGCCCCGGGCGGCCCCAGGCTGCCGGCCAGGGGGCTGCGCTCCTGCCTCCTTCTCCTTCTTCTCCTTCTCCTCCGCAGCCAGGAACTTCCTCAGGATGCTCTTCACGGTGCCCTTCCCACCAGGGGGGCCCCAGCGGGGCTTCTCCCCAGCCAGGCGCCTCTGGCCCGGGCAGCTGGCCCCCGCCTGGGTCTTCTCCAGCAGTTTGTTGATGGTAGCACTCACAAGGCTCCTGCTGGGACCCTGCTTGTCCCTGGAGATGAGCCTGCCCACCTCCCTGGTCCTCTTGAGGTGGTGCTCCCGGCCCGTGCCCATGAACTTGGCCTGTAGGAGCTGGAAGCGGGTGGGCCTCCGGCCGGCCTCCTGAGACGGAGGCAAGCAGCCCCCCGCGTGCCCTGGGTCTGCTGCCGCCGGGGGCCCACCTGCGCGGTCTGTGACGTACATCAGGAGGCTGCCAAGGAGGGCGCGGGCCCCCTCGTCGCACGTGCGGCTGATCTTCCTCCTCAGGACGTGTGCATCCATGGACGTGTGGCCACCACCGCTCCTGCTGCGCTCAGGCCTGCGGGGAGAAAACTGGTGGTGACCCATTTTATCAGCACTGTCCAGCTTATCTGGAGGACACCGATGGGGAGGCCCACACCCCGAGGGCCTGGCCCAGCAGGAAGAGCTCGGGGTGGGCCGAGGCCGTCCCTGGGTCCTCTCTGGGGTGTCAAGGATGCCCGTGGCTTTTCTTGGCCACAGTCTCCTGTTAATTAGCACTGACTTCTAAGTCTCCTGCTCTGAGGGCTGTGGGAATTCCACACTCATCAACTTCTCCAACACAGTTTGGAAAAACCACTTTGCATATGTAAGGTACTTTTAAATAAAAAAGGTTATATTTTGCTTTTATAAATAGGCCAAAAAAATCAAGTATAAAAATTTATGTTATCTGTGCACACATCTAGCTTTAAATAGGAAAGACGACACCAATGCTGCGTACCTCCTACGTGATCCTGAGTTGCAAGTGTGGAGGACCCGATGGCAGTTACAGCCCCGAGCCTCGGTGGAAGAGAGCCCCCGATGGATGCCCCCACGGGCTCCTGGTAGAATGAGTCGCTCTGGTGGACATGTGTGCCCCAGAGTGGTCACAGTGTGGAGGTCAGAGGGCTCCCAGAGAAGCCCCCAGGCTGGAGGGGCCTGCAGGTGAGCTTTGGCACCCACCGCCCCACACCCAGCTGGCTGCAGAGCTGGCTCTTCACAACTCCGCGGCAGCCCCGGACAGGCAGGTCCAGGGCGTAGGCACTGCGGCCACTCCTGCTGGCTGTGCCTTTTAGGGAGACGACCAGAGGCTCAGAACAAGGGTTCCAGTCCTGCGTAAGGGTCTCCACGGCACCACCCCAATATTAAAGAGCTGAGACGGCCCTGGTGCCTGACACTAGCGCTGCCCAGGGGCCCGGCCATACTCGCTCGCAGCAGTGAGCAGCAGAGACTTTGGCCCTGCTGAGACAGACTGCAGAGAAACGTGCAGATTGACAGATTTCACCTTTCTGCTGTTTGTGGAAGCCACAAACAACATCTTTTTAAGAACCTGTTCTGGAGCCAGCCCTGGTGTGACAGGGGAGCGGCCTCGTCCCCTGCTCACCTTTGGACGAGCACATGTGGCTGCAGAGACATGGCCCTGAGACCACCCCGTACTGAGGCAGGAGCTCAACGTGGAGCAGAGGGCCCCAGGCTCCCTGACCTGGAGGGGCCAGGCACCAGAGCACAGGCCGGCCTTGGAAGCACAGCCTTTCTTTTTTCTTTTGAGACAAAGACTTTGCCATGTTGCTGGCCAGGAACTGACTTAGGGTCCTCCTGCCTCAGCCTCCTGAGTAGCTGGGCTGTAGGTGACGAGACCACCTCCAGCTCCTGAGGTGTCCAGTGCCACCACAGGCCCGAGCAAGCAACAGGGCCAGCCCACCACAGTCTGGGCCTCAGTAACTGTGAGCCAAAGTGCACTGTCTTCTACACAGCCGTCCCTCAACGCTGTTTGTCACAGTGAGGCGACGCAGGCAGGCGACGCGAGGAGTGGAGCGGCCACAGCCACAGTGCTGCCACCAAGCCCCTGACAGAGCCGTCGCGGCGCGTCCCATCTCCCCAGGCCTCAGACGGCCATGTGTCTGCAGGGATGCGACCTAGTGAGAGCTCCAGCCTGAATACACAGCAGCCACGTGCCGCGGCTCCGTGACCACAGCGCAGAGGTGACCGCACCCAGGGGGCAGATACCCCCGGACTGGCCCTCGACTGCCCTGGTCATCATCCTGGGTGAGACAGAGGAGCGCAGGCCTCGGGGTGGCTGTGGATAGCTGGTGTCCTGCTTGTGCTTTGCGGGACCTGCTGGCCATGAGCAGGCTGTCGGAGAGGCCGCTCCCCACGGGAGCTCTGTGGGCACATCCCTCCCACATGGTGGGGTCCCTGGGGGGCTGCTCTGGGGGGAGGCCACCATCCACTCGAGGAGGTGGCCTTGCCGGGCATCACCAGAGAGCCATCTCGGGCTCCCTGACCCAGGAAGGTGTTCGGCTGCTGCCCCGGGCCCCCCGCCAGTCTCCCAAAGGCAGAGGACCTCAGGTCTCGGTGTCGGGCAGTGGTCTCTCAGGGTGTGCACAGCTGCTTTGGCTGAGGCCCCCATGCCATCTCTGCAGGAGACAGTGCTGTGGTCTGTGGCACCCTTGGTAGTGGGCTGGCTCGAGGGTCAGCCATGTCTCTGCATTTCCCAGGCTACAGCGGAGACATTGCAGCCTCTAACTGGTGGCCATTTAGGCTCGGCACCTTGGGGTGGCCCCTGGCAGCTGCTCAGCTCTGTCTTTGGCACACCCAGGCACCGGAACCCAGCTCCCCAGAGTCCTCCTCATGTTTTCCCTGCCTCGCTGAGCGGCACCTCCAGCCCCGGGCACACAGGTGGTAGCTACGACCACTCCGTCCCCAGGGAACACGCCCTCTTGGCTGCCCCAGCTGAGCTCTGCCGCACCAGCAGCGAGTAGTGTTCTCCCTCCAGAGTCACGGGTCCTCCTGGCCCTCAGTGCACTCACCCACCAGCCCTCCCAGGGCTCTTGCCCCCTGCACCGGGTCCTGCTGTCTGGCTGCTTCCCTCTGCCCCTTCCTTTCTTCCACAGGAGCCGTCACAGTGAGGGAAGGCTGACTAGCCCAGCGCTCTGAGAGACGTGACCTGGCCCCGGGTCTGTCCTTCACACACTGGCCACGCGCACCTTCTCCAAGGCTCTGGTTTCTCAGGACAGCCTCTGTCTCCACCCTGGGTGTGTACAGAGGACCCCGCTCAGGGCGTGTCTGTGGCTCTGAAGCCCACACCTTCCAGCCAGGCGCTGTGTGGGCTCGGGGTACCGTCGCCCCTGGGCCGTGGGCCTGAGAACCTCCCACGGGGAGCAGCCAGAGCCAGCCCTCAGCCAAGGGCCCCAGGCTGGGCCACACGTCGTCCTGGGAGGGCTTCCAGGAGCCACAAGCCGGCGGAGGTGGGCGGGAGGGCCTCGCTTCCCGGACAGCTGCGGGCAGCCTCACCTGGTGGCAGGAGACCCCAGGATTGAAGCCCTCAGGGAGTGTGCGGCCACACAGTGCTGGCCTGCGGGGTGGCTGGGCTATTTCAAGCATCTTGCTGACTTCTCAGGTTGAGTCCTTAGGGTAACAGCCAGGCTGACAGCACACTGTGGGGACATTCTGGTGGCCTGAGTCAGGGCCCTGAGGCCCAGCCAGGCAGGTTGATGATCTGCCCCTCCTGAGTTCCTCTCTGATGAGGCAGCTGTGCCCTCCCACCTGCGCCCCAGAAGCAGGGCTGGGCTGCACGCGGAGGCCCAGGCGCGGCGCCTCTCCCACACGCCCATCCACCGGCACCCGACTGCACCCCTCTGTGGTGGAGTGAGCGCCACTTGTTTGGACTGGACTTGATGAGTGTCCTTTTTGGCCATGGGAGTCATGTGGCTCTGAGGCTGCGTGGCCTTTGACCGAGGCCATCTAGGACAGTGGTAAAGTCAGCCGGGCTCTGCCTAGCCGCCAGCCCCCATAGAGCAGACAGGTGGCTCCCCTCCGGCTGTCAGCCCAACTCCCCCGGGGGGCACAGCAGCAGGTGTCCTTGGTCAGCCCGGGGGGAGCTCCAGAAAGTTCCGAGAGACGGCGGGTCAGGTGCTGTGCTGAGATTTATGGACAGGGATTCGGGGATTAGGCCAGTGCCTTGAGTTCTTTTCTGGTGAGCAGGCCAGGCCTCGTGCCTGTCAAGGTACGTCACCCCAGGCCCCGCGGCAGGAGGACGGTCATTCACAGAGGCGTAAGATGGTGCTGTCGGCCGTGACGACCCCCTTAGTGAGTTGCTCATGCTTAACGACTGTTACTGGCCCAGAGACTCCTTCCTGTGGTCTCCACTAACCTGTGCTCTGGCCACCCACACCACTGCTGGGCAGGGCTCCTTCCCCTGCAGGCCACCTCCCTGGTCCACAGGCCCAGCTCCTGCCCACACCTTCTGGTGACCAGCAGCTGATGGCCGTCCATGGACTCCTTGAGCCCAGCTCATCCCCAGGGCCTCTGTACCAGTCCCTCCACCTCAGCACATCTGCCCCTTCAGGCCACGGCTCCCATGTCCTCTCCTGGGGGGTTGCAGAGCCTACGACCATGGCTGATCTCTAGCACATGACTGGGTGGCCACGGTCACAACACCAGCCACTTCCTGAGACTGCTGTGATTTCAAAGGAGTGAAACTGCATCTCTTGGGGCCACTAGAGTGCAGGCTGCAGGTGGGCAGGGGCGTGTCTCCTTCTCCAGGTCACCCCAGGGCCCACGCATGTCTGGCCAGAGCAGTAGATGCCTGGGGACGGGGAACCAGCCCTCCTTGGATGCCTGGCTGCAAACAGGCCACCCTTCCCACCCTCTGCCCTGCCTCTCCCTCGACCTCCCTGCTCCTGTGGCCTGCACTGGAACACTCCAGAGCCCTTACTGGAGGGTGGGACAGCTCGTGAGGCCCACAGCTGCCCACAGGCTCCTTGCCCCGCAGTGGCCAGCAGACAGCCTGAGCCTGTTCACCACGTTCCTTAGGCACACGGGCCAGCTGCAGACCAGCCAGGATGGACGGAACCCACCCCTGCAGGTCGACATAAACATGGCATACCACGACGTTCCTGATTTAGGCAGCTCCGGCTGGCGGGAGAGGGCGTCTAATACAAGAGGACTGAGAAGCCACCCTTGGACACGCCCAGCTCCGCACACCCACCCAAGGTGCCATCAGCTTCCACCAGTCTGTGGTCCCCACTACGGACTGTCCCGCACCAGGGTCCTGACTTCCCCTCCGGCTGTCAACGGCCATGCTGGGGCCTCTAGAGCCTGACCACCCCCCCCCCCCCCAGGGAGCAGCCGTCTGCCTCGTCCCCTCAGGTCTCAGGGGAGCTTGGGGCAGGCTCTGCATGGCCCCAGGCCTCCTCAGAGGCTCTGCACACACCTTCCACTGCAGCACACCACGGTGTCCTCAGGCCACTCAGGTGTACCCTGGCTCCCATGACAGGCCACCTTGCTGCCACTGCCTGTCCCTCCCAGGACGAGCTGTGG